GAAGAACTAATAAAGCAAGAAGAATTTGGAACACTACAGTTTTAACTTGCACTAGGCAGAGAACTGTGGAACTTACATTATGAAAAAAATATTTCTTACCTGATAATAACCACATATAACATGACTTGCAAAATACCATTTCCTTATGCCTGGGATACCAGCCAATGAACATGCTGAAAAGAGACACAACAAGGATTTAAAATAATCAATCCACTACAAACTAAATGTACTAAAGCAGATCTTCAGAACTCCATTTTAAGATGATAAAATGATTTAATAAATTCTCATGGTGTGGGTTCTGAATTGCTACCCAACAGACAAATAATGCTTCCACTGAAAAAAACATAGATCACAGGAGTAACAAAAATCATAGGCATGAAAATATCAAGCTGCATGCTGACATGAGAAACAAGCCCTTTTCTACTCTCAGTCAGTCTTAAAATAGATTGAAATTTGTCAGCCTTTCAAAACACTTGTCTTTCATTTCCAGTGCCTGGTATATTTAATCATCTGGTAACAGCTGAGCTGCTAAAGGAAAATCAGTTCTCCATAGAAATGGTAGCAGCAAGAGCAAGAGAAACTGGATTTCCTCAAGTTTCTGATTTGTTTCATGTAAATAATAAATTTGCCTAGGCCAATTCCTTGACAACATTTGGCATATATTACTGTGCTTACCTGGGAATGTCCTTGCATCTGTGTTTGTAGATGAATTACAGTTTTCTTTCAGAAGTTTATAAACATTTGCAGCAGTCACAGCTGGAAAAAGAAGATTTTCTTAAATCCTCTGACTTCCAGAAGGTAAATCTTGCTTATTGCAAATGCAGTTTAAAGTTCAGTTTAACATGAAAAGTTTTGTTTAAAACAAGTGTCAAGTACAGATTTGTAGGAGTCTAAAAAGACTAATATAAAGTTCTAGTTAAACTACTGGATATATAGATTTACAAGCTGATGAAATGGGCTGATAAGAACCTCATGAAGTTCAGCAAGAAGTGCAAAGAACTGCACCCAGGAATATACAACCCTGGGCACCAGGAAATGCTGGGGGGCAGAAAAGGACCTGGGGGTCTTGGTGGACACTGTATTGACCATGAGCCAGCAGCGTGCCCTTGCAGCTAAGAAGGCTAATGGTATTCTTGGCTGCACTACACAAGCACCATCAGCAGGCCAAGGGAGGTGATCAGCATTGGGGAGGTTGCACCAGGACTGCTGTGACCAGACCTGTGCTAAGTGATACGAGAGAGACCTGGACACACTGGGAAAAGTCCAGTGGAGGGGCACAAAGATGAGGCTGGAGCACCTCTTCTACAAGGAAAGGCTGAGATAGTTCAACCTAGACAAGAAATGGCTGTGGGAAGATCTTATCACCATATATCAGTATCTGAAAGGAGGGTGCAAAGAAGACAGAGCCCAGCTCTTTTCAGTGGTGCCCAGTGGCAGGACAAGAGGCAATGGGCACAAACTGGAACATTGGAAGTTGCCCTGAACATCAGGAAGCACTTCTGTGCTGTGTGGGTGATCAAGCACTGGCACAGGTTGCTCAGAGAGGCTGTGGTGTCTCCACCTTAGTGATCCTCAAAAGCCACCTGGACGTGGTCCTGGGCACGCTGCTCTGGGTGTCTCTGCCTGAGCTGGGGTGGGACCAGGTGGACCCCAGAGGGCCCTGCCAGCCTCAACCATCCCATGATATCTCTAAAATCTTCTAGTTAGCTAACATCAGTGTTTTAGCAAAACTCAAATAACCTAAGTTTCTGAAGGCGTAAGTCGTTAAAGCCTTCTGTTCTGAAAGAAAAGATCTTTATCACGGTACTAATCCTGAAAACCTACCTGCGCACAGACCTAGACCAGAAAGCATAAAGAAAAAGTCTTCGAGAACAACCCCCGAGGCGTTTGAGGCAGGGGCATCGATTAACCGGGTGAAAGCACAAGAACTTAAGGAACATATCTCTCGGACACACACCTTACGTGCCCCAGGAGAGCCGTACGGAGGCTAATTCCCCTCTCCAGCCCCCGATGGAGGCTCCCGCTCCGTGCCCTGCCCCGCGTCCCCCCTCTTCGGCGGCAGCCCCCGTTCAGCATCGCCCCCCAGTGCAGCGCTACCTGCAGCGGGCTCCGCACCGCCCTCGCCTGCGCTCCCCAGCTGAGGAGCAGCACGTAGCGGTCCATGGCCGGCCGAGGACGGGAGGGAGAAGGAGCGGAGGATCCGCCGCCACCATCAGGGCTCCGAGCAGCCGCGCTGCCCGCCCCTGCACCGCCCCTCGCAGGGCGATGTTTCCGCTTCCGGGGCCGATGGGCTCCGTTTCCCTTCCCCTTGAGCCGCAGCGGCCATGGCCAGTTACACCAAGGCTGCCCAGGTGAGCGCGGGGCTGGCTCTTCAGGCGAGGGGACACCGCGGTGGCCACTGCCCTCCGTGTGGTGGCGGGCTGCTGGCGGCCGCCATTTTGTGGGGGTGAGCGGGTGCTATGGCCAGGCACTGCTCGGCTGGCCTGGGCGCTGCTGGAAGGAGCAGGCAGTGCCCGCTGTGGGGCTGCTGGGGAAGGGAAGGGGGCTGAGAGGGACAAGGCTGCCCGCTGAAGGCGCGTAGGGTTGTTAGTAGGCACAGAAGTGTGTTTAGGTGTTGCTCAGGCAGCCCAGAGAGGCTGTGGATGCCCAATCCCTAGAGGTGTGCAGGGCGAAGCTGGATGGGGCTTTGGCAGCCTGATGTGGTGGGAGGTGTCCCTGCCCATGGCAGGGGGGTGGAACTGGGTGGGCTTTAAGGTCCTTTCTAACCAAAACCATTCAATGAACCGTTTCAAGCAGTAAGTGCAGCACAGTAGGTCTTAAAGGTGCAGGATCAGGCTGTCCCTGTGCGCCGTAAGATGAGTCAGTGGGGAAGACCGGTGTGGCTGAACAGGGAACTTCTGCTGAGTGTCCAGGAGAAAAAGAGAGTTTGTGTCTGGTGGAAGAAGGGCAGGCAACACAGGGAGAGTACAAGAAAGTTGCCAGCATGTGCAGAGAAAAAATCAGGAAGGCCAAACCACTGTACAAGCTCAACCTGACCACTGTGCTTAAAGATAACAAAAAATGTTTTTATAAATATATTAATGGCAAGAGGAGGACCAAGGAGAATCTCCATCCTTTACTGGATGCAGGAGGGGAACGTGACTACTGAGGATAAGGAAAAGGCTGAGGTTCTTAATGCCCTCTTTTCATTTGTCTTTATTAGCCAGAGCACTTATTCTCAGGGTTTTTAGCCTCCCGACCTGGAAGTCTGGGTTGGGGAGCCAAAGACCTCATTGCTCTCTATAACTGCCTGAAAGGGTGTGGGGAGCTGGGGGTCGGCCTCTGCTCACAGGTAACCAGTGATAGGACCAGAGGGAATGGCCTCAAGTTCACCAGGAGAGGCTCAGGCTGGAAATGAGGAGACATTTCTGCTCAGAAAGAGCAGTCAGGCACTGGTTGCCCAGGGAGGTGGTCCCTGGGGGGGTTCAAGGAGAGGTTGGGCGTGGTGCTTGGGGACATGGTTTAGTGGTTGACATTGGCGGTAGGGGATGGTTGGGCCAGATGATCTTGGAGGGCTTTCCCAACCCTGATGATTCTATGATACAATGTCTAGCACTGTGCTCTACCCTAATGCTACATGACAGGGGGTGTTTTTGAATATTAGTATTTCTTATGATGCTTGAAATGTAAAAGAATGCATTGATCAAATCAGAGAAGCTAGATTCATTTATGGTAGTGTGTTCTTTTCCTATATTAAGTACCACTTCTCTTTCTCTTTAGCAATGGGCTACTTTTGCCAGAGCTTGGTATCTCCTAGATGCAAAGATGCAACCACCAGGAAAAATAGCAGCTGCGACTGTAATCAGACTTGAAGGCAGGCATAAACCTATTTATCATGCACTAAGTGAGTATTGCAGTACACAGAAGCATTTTTAATGTATTTTTCTTTTAATTTCATTCTTAAAAAACAGTGCTTTTTACAAGGTTGCATTTTTCAGTTTGTAAATTATAAAGGGTTCAATTTCATTTCCGTGTTTTCCCTTCATACCTCTCCAGAGGTTTAGGTCATTGTCTTTACCAATCCATAAAGCTTGTTACTAATTTGTTATTCAATTTTAGTATAATTTGTTATTCAATTTTAGTAGCAGAATTATGATGGAATTCAGTTGCCTCGGTTATTTTTTTAAGTTCGAAATGTGTTTTGTTGCACTGATTTTAAACAAAAATTTAATCCACAGTGCATGTATTGAAACACCAATGTGATTCTTGATTAGATTTTTCTGAACGCTACTGTTCAGTAGTTGTACAGCACCACAGCACCTTGGAGCAGTTTTCATTCTGAACAACGTGCAAAAAAGTCCTGTGTGTATGAGAACAGGAGACACAAAACTGGCACACAGGAGGTTCCCTTTGAACATCGGAAAGCACTTCTGTGCTGTGCAGGTGACAGAGCACTGGCACAGGTTGCCCAGAAAGGCTCTGGGGGGCTCCTTCCCTTGGAGATACTCAAAAGGCCATCTGGACGTGGTCTTGGGCAGCTGGCTGTAGGTATCCCTACTGGAGCAGGGCTTGGACCAGATGGCTTCCGACCTCAGCCACTTTCTGATGATGAGCTAGAACCTGTGTGATTTGAAATAGGAGACACAATTATTGATGAAAGATATTTTCTTGATCCAATGAAAAAAAGCCTTGTTTATCTACTGTTTAGAAGATACAGCACTAAAGACACCTTGCTCATGATTGATAATACCATAGTGCTTGTCTCACTGTGATGAGCATTTTTATAGATAATAAATGATGATCCCTGTTTAAGAGACTTTACTGAAGCATAAAGAAGCATCAAGCTTTGCTCATACATGTCTAATGTAAACACTAAAATTATACTTAATCTGATTGTCATAATAAAAGGTTAGTATTTGTAGTTTTTGGAAGATATTTAAAATACCCAAATACTGCTATTGCAAAACTTGCCGTATCCACAAGATGTCGCTGGAGTCTAAGGATATCTTAAAAAAATAAAGTAGATGGAGGGGAAATTCTTTTGGCTGTCCCATGGGAAAGATCTTTGATGGTTTTATGTTCATGAAGTTATAAAAATCCTGGAAAGCCATTTCAAGGATAACTTCATTTGGTCTAAAGTATTCTATAAATCAGTACCAAATGCATTACACCTGAGATTGATAGATTACTACCAGTGGGAGACATTTGATACTCTTTAAGGAAGCAAAGGATGGATGAATTTATGGTTGGTGTGCTCAGCATGTCTTTCTTTTTTCCTAAACTAACAACAAATATTTTAGCATCTGCGAGATAAGAGTCCTTAGGCAGAATAAGATTGTGAGGCATTTTGGTTTTCTGGGTTGACAGGCACCTTTCTGTAAAATCATCATTTATTTATTGTTTTGAAAAATATCTGGAACTGAAATTAAGCTGTGGGTAGGGAAAAGAAATAAATATGTTTTTATGTACGTTTATTTTCTGTTTTAGGGATAATCTTTATTTATTCTCCAAAGTGTTGGACTTTTTAGATGTTGTCAGGCCTTAAAAGGTGATACAAGTCTTTTTCATGAGATTTGAATCTGAATTTTTTTGCTTTCTTCTGCACCTTCCCTTCCCTCTATTCTCTTTCCCTTGCATTCTGTCTTTGCAAACAGCTTCACAGTAAGGAACCAAAAATAGTGAGCTAGGTTTTTCAAAAATTGTGTAGTCTGGTTCTTTGTATTGAATCAGTAGGCAAACTACTTGTGTTATTTGGGCAGGATTTTCTACGTGAGCAGCTGTTCTCTGCATCCTCAGAGAAGACTAGGTTAGATGGAAATGCTCCACAAGCCAGATGTGGCCCAGGTACTACTCTTGCTTGCAATGTTAGCTTCAAATGGCTCGAAACAGTAGCTCAAACTCGTCTTGTAATGAAAGAATTGGCAAGTAGGTTGTCAGTCTTGTGAGCTAACAGTTGATGGTGTCTACCTTCAAAGAGCATTTCGTCCATAATTGAAATGTAGGAGGAAAAATGCACCTATGTGAAGCCTGTGTTTTTATTGTGAGGTAGGAATTGCTGAAAAGTTACAAACATTCAGTGATACAGAATGTTTGTAACCCTGAGCAGATTAGCTTCATCTGAAGAGGTGTAACATTTACGTTGTACATAACAAGTAGCATATGCTATAGTGTGAGAGAATACTATGGCCTTGGTTTTGTGCATTTCTGGAGAAAACTATAAAAGAGTAATTTTGGATATTACATCATAACCTGAAGGAAGAGTTTTCTTCAGTAATCTTTTTCAAAAGTAGGATGCAATTTGTGTTTGTGCAGCTGGTAAATATTTTTGCTGTCTTCCTATTGAGAGTGGGTATCCCTGAGGTGATGGAAGCAAGGCTGTTAAAAGACAAGTGGAGACTAATGTATTAATTTGAAATTCTGAATGCTATTCATCAATTTGGTCTACTATAAAAGAACAGGTTGCAGTCATTATTTGGATAGGTCAGTTTTTACCTTGGCTGCTTCATGTTGTTTGCAATGGCTTTATCAGTGTGTAGAATTGTTAATTCAATATTATTCAGGTGGAGAACTTTGGGCAAAAATTTCCATAGATGAACTTATTCTTTTCTTTTCCCAACAAAACAAACAAACAAAAAAACAGCAATAACAACAACATCAGCAACAAAAAAGGCACAAAACCCAATGTCAGCTTCCTGGCAAATGCATTTAGATACAGTGTTTTAGAACAGATCTGTCAGTGGAAGATGATAAATATCAGAGAAGATACTGAAATTGTGTTTGAGCTTCAGCTGTAGTTGAAAATAGAGCAGTAAAGGAACAGAAGATTAGAAAATGGTAGAAAACTTTAACCAATCGAAGTTTCACACCTTATTTATTATATGCTCATGCGAATATTCTATTCAGTTCCTTCTTTGTGTAGCTGCTTTGTAACCTACTAAGGAATGCTGTAATCAAAGGAGTTTTCAAATGCTTTTATCCTAATATTGTGATGCCTAAGAAGGTGAACTTTGGACAAGTCATTTTGCAGTTGATTCAGTGGGTGGTTGGTTATAGCTTGTACAGCTGATCACAGTTACTTCTAAAATGAAAAACTCCATTTTTTCATATTTTCATCGTGTTTTTTTAGACAGTAAGGGTTGTATTAGTACTTCACTAGTAAATAAGATCAGTAAAGTAACTATTCCTGGCAAGGTATTGCTGACAAAACATAAGGCTTTGCAATTAAAAAAAAAAATATTACAACAAACAGTTGCTGTTAGTACAGGAACCAGTAAATACATGTCTGCTGTAACAGTCACTTTTGCTTGATTGATGCGAATGTGTTGGGGGGAGCTGATGTTTTTTTTTCCCCAACAGAGCTGATTTTTATTTGAAACCTCTTTGCATCTTAGATACATTGAGCCCCAGGCTGTAGTTCTTTAGTAGAACTATTTTACTTACCCTAAGTGTTCAGTCCTGTAGTAAACATTGGTAGTATTTCATAAGAAAACTAAAACATTTAGGATTGTTGTTTAGAGCTTACCTTTTTTCCCCAAGTATTTAAAACAGGTTCATATGCAGCATGTGTTGTGTTGACTAAAATAAACTACTTGCTCCAAGGCCAGGCAACTGGATCTTAGGTGAACGTATATACACCCTTTGTAGCTGTTATTTTGGTTGGTTATTCCTGGGGTTCTCTTAATATTTTCTACTGCTTTCTACCTTGTAGGTGACTGTGGAGATCACGTTGTCATAATAAATACAAGACACATTGCTTTTTCTGGTAACAAATGGGAGCAAAAAGTATATTCTTCACATACTGGGTAAGGCACTTTGTAGTGATGAGCTGGTGGTAAATTTAATGTCACTTTCTTAAGAGTTGCAATTCCCTTTTGAAGCAACATGCTAAAAAGACTGCAACTTACATGTATGTGTTTGTTTTGTGCTTGCATCTGTTACAATGTTTAAAAGTATGCAAGACTTTTTTTTGAAGTGTATATTGTTAGGGAAATAATCTGATTTAGTCTGTTTTAGCCATGACAATGGAGTAAACTAACAGATTGGGTAGACGACATTGTTTTATGTGGAGATTAACGCAAAGATCATGACTACTGTATCTACTAAGCAGCAGAAGGCTTTCCTATTTATATGTTTAAGATATATAGAGATGCCAATTTCAATTACGTTATCCTACTTACCACTTGACACCAAGATTGATACGTTCTTGAGTCAAGGAACCAAAGAAAAAAGAAAATGTGCTTCATGTTGGATATCAGATTTAAATTTCTCCAAAACAACTGGAAAAACTGGTAAAAAATGAGATACTCTAAAGAGGTACCGATGTATACAATAGTGTGTAGGATATTATTTTGTCAGATACAGTTTCTTTATATATGGAAGCACAATAAACAATTACAGCATGGATCAGTTCAGTCAAATAAGAACAGTCACTCCTATTTTATGCTGTGATAGATAATTATTCCCAAAGTGTTAAAATGTATCCAGTCGGGAGATTATTAAATCAAGTTGAGAAAGCTAATTTTGCTGGTATTGATGTTTCAGTCCCAAAGTTCCTTTGAAGTTCCTTTTTTGAGTTGCTGAGAAGTTCTCATCAGAGTTAATGGAAATTAAGTTTTTTTTCCTCCCCTGCTCGTAATGACTTCTTTAAATTTTTCAATAAGAAAGTGAAAGCAATTGTGCAATTAAAGAAATACTTAAATCTGTACAGCTCCCTAAGTGGACAGTTCTAATAATGTTGGGTTTATTTTCATTTCAGTTAGGCTGATTCCTAATAACATAATTAAATGAAAGGAATCTGTTTTACCTGACATCTGTTTGCTTTCTTGCACCATTTAAAGTATATGCTTAAATGTAAATTAGTGCAACTACACCATTTCACTAAGACTAAGTAGGTCAGGTTGATGGTGGACTTGATGATCTTGAAGGTCTCTTCCAACCCAGATGATTCTATGATGCTAATATACTCTGATATTTGTGTTAACATCATGCTTGAGCATATAGCACTAAGCCTGTATGTTTCTTCTGTTTCTCTAGTTATCCTGGTGGTTTCAAACAGGTGACAGCAACTCAGCTCCATTTGAAAGACCCAACTGCTGTAAGTGCTTTGTGTTTTTTCTTTTTCATTTGGAAAGTAGGTGTGTTTTCATTTAATTTGTTCCCCTAAGCAGAATGGGTTACTCCTATCTGTGTTAAATGTGATTGTGAACGTTTTATTAATGGGGCTTGGCTTGCTGACTGTGTTCTTGGACACAGCATGTTTTGAGGGTCAGATTGTAGGTCGTGAATTTTTGTGTTTCATGCATGCTGTCCAAATGAGCAAATCAGGTTCATTTGCTTTGCCCATTTTTGACTGATTCACTTGCTTTTAGTTTCAAAGGTCTGACCTTTGTTATTTCCAAAGTGACTCAGCTTAGACTTAGCTAAGCAGTGTTTCAGTTTAACAACCCTAGCAGATTAAGAGTCAGCAAGAGTAAGGGTAATATTAAAAATATTAAGGATAATATTAAAAAGTGTTAGAGAGTACACCTGGCTCCTTCTCCCGTTAGAATTCAACTGTAGGTTTTGTTAAATGATTTATTTATTTATTGAGATCTTGTCTACAATGCTGTGTATTCATGGTCTATGAGAGGGTTTGAAGTGGTGACTACATTGAGCTTCAGCCTCTTTAGTAAATGTCTGTATTGGACCATTATTAATTCTGCTGAACAACAGTGTTGTTGTTACTAATTAAAAAAAATATATTTTTTGAAGTTTTCATTTCAAATACTTTGCCTTGGGTCACTTTATATGTAAAATATTAAAATACTTCTTCCTTTTCCTGCTGCAAAATTATTGGATTTTGTCACTGATGTTTTTAATCTGTGATTCAGATAAATTTGTTGGGATAAATTCGTTTATCCCAAGACTTTAATTTAAAAAAAAGTCTGCCGTAAGAATTTATCTACTTTTATTTTTATATATTTTATTTATTTAAAACGAAATGGTGAAATAATTAAATCTTGCAGTTCAATAATACTTTCTACCTAGAATTTTTACAAAGTGCTTAAATGCTTTTAAGAAACGGCTCTAACACAGTTGTAATTCTTTTGGGTAGTTCCACGTCTGAAACATTCTCCAACTTTTTCCATTTGAGCTTCAGACAGAAGCTATGCACTGGGAGGCAGTGTAACACAACTTGTTTGTTAGGGCCTGAGAATTAGATGTTCTATAAATTACCTACTGGCATTTGTTCTGAAATACCTCTTTTCTTGCCAGACTCCTAGATGAATTTCTGTGCAAACAGAGGAGGATTAAATGCATTGCCAATAACTAAAACATGTTGGACAGAGATTCGGCAAATGGTGATGTGGCTCAGGACTTGGTCTAATTTAGCAAGAGAAACTTTTTTTTTTTTTTTTTTAAAATAAAAAAGCAATTCTGGATAGCTCTCAGCAATTAACTCTTTAATTCCGTTGAAGTGCTTGAATGTCCCTATTAAAAAGCAGTGGGTGGTAATTTGGCAGGATATGTTCTATATGTGCAGCGGTCACAGTTTTTGGCTAGTAAAGGTTTTTATGGCTAGAAATATTTGTTTACTCTTTTGGTGTGAAATCTACTGGGATACGATAAAGATGGAAATTAGGGTGGTGATTTATTAACATGTTTTATTTTGGGAATCACGGAATAGTTTGGAAATAGAAGGGAAAGACCTTAACGACCACCCAGTTCCAGCCCCCTGCCCTGGGCAGGGACACCTCCCACCAGCCCAGGCTGCCCAAAGCCCCATCCAGCCTGGCCTTGAACACCTCCAGGGATGGGGCACCCACAGCTTCTCTGGGCAGCCTGTGTTAGTGCCTCACCAAATCTGAGTGAGGAATTTCTTCCTAACATCTAATCTAAATCTCCCCTCTTTTAGATTAAAGCCATTACTCCTTGTCCTATCACTGCACTCATTCTTTTTTAAAGACCTATCTATATAACTCAGTACTGAAAAATAATTACCATGCAGAAGGCCAATGTCTAGCTGAAGCATCATTTGGTTCTTCAAAATACCATGGAGACTTAGGTAAACTACATTGTTTTCACTTTTTTGAATTAAAAAAACAAACTTTTTTTTTTTTTTAATTGTGATAGATCCAATTGCTGAGAGGCAGTAGAACTATATAGGTTGTAGGAAGTTGAATACATCTTTTTCTGGAATCGGTCTTCATACTTTAAAGCATTGTTTTCATCCTGGAGGCTAGTACTTCTTTTCTGCCTGTGGTCCTGTTATCTCCTGCTAGCTCATCCTGATGGCTCTTCATTACAGGAGTCATCATTAATTTTGGAAAAATTATCATTACAAAAATTAAGCCATTACATTCTTGGGAGCAAATTAAAATGGCTGTAATGAATAATTTGATACAAAATGATGTAATTTATTTGCAGGGAGGACAAAAATCTCAAGTATAGTTGTTGGAATATAGACGTGTTTATGGCATTATTGTTAAATTATCATCCTTGGTCAATTCCTGTTTTTTCATAAGGAGGAAGACAAACATGATGATCATCTGATAATCTCACTTAATGTAGTTCGACCTCGTTGCATTTATCTCATTAACTTTGGACCTTACTTTTTTTCCCCTCATGCATGGTAGTTAGTGCTCGAGAAGGATTTCTACTGAATTTTGAACGTGTGTGTACACGTTGGTTTCTTAAAAATAGGATGGAGGGAACCTCTGGAGATCCCTAGTCCAACCTGCTGCACTATTGCCTTCCAGGTCAGGTAGGGCTGGTGGGAGCTTACCTAGACTGGGCTTGGAAGCCTCCAAGGACAGCCTTTCTGAGCTGCCTTCTCCAGTTGCTCAACTTTTAAGTTGAAAAGAATAAAAGGCCTGTGTAGTTGATGTTCCATTCAGTTCTGTGTGGATTGTGCCAATTTTTTCAGCAATTTGGAAACTTTTGTTTTTATGGAAAGGTAGAAGTTACGATTCTTGCCAAAAAAGATATCAAAAGCAAATATTCTAGCACGTTTTTGCCTTTAACACCTTTGAATCCCTTTGGGAGGTGTGGGGAAGGGGATGTCTGTGAATTTCTATAAAAGTTCCACTGGTTTCAGTTGTCTGCTCTTCTGGAGAATACCAGAGAAGAGTCCTCCTCTCTTAGACTTGGCCAGGCTGCTCCATGCTCCAGGAAGTGTTTAATAAAGAAAAAACAGCTTCATGTTTCGGCATTTTCTTTCTCTCTCTAGGATACAGTGTCAATTCTCAGACAACCCATAGACTAAGGTATTAAACTTGTTCTTTAGGTGTAGCAGAGCAGCTTGTGGCCATACAAAATAGTCCCTCTCTTCATCAGAGTAATACAATGTTAATACCTGTATGGTACAGACACTACTTTAGGATACGTGGTAGGTACAGCATTAATTTCCATTGTAAGTTGCTGAAATCTCATCTGAAAGGTTTAGTGTGCCTCTTCCAAGGAGTCTCAAAAATAAAGGAAACAGTTAAACTCCTTTATTTGAGGCACGGGTGTCTGGAACGCATAGATGTTTTGTGTTCTCATTGTTGTTTTTAATAGAACTTGAAGCAGTTTTGTTTAGCTGGGAAAATGCTAATAGGTACAAGACCAACATTTTCAAAATTAGGCATCAAAGTAGTTGTATGGGAAGATAAGAGATCATGTGTACTTTTTTTTTTTTTTTTTTAGCTGTCACAGATATGAGAGGGAACAAAATATTTGGGAAAAAATATCTGGAAAAATCATAAGATTTTTAGTTAAAATGCCTGCAGAATATGTTGACAGATTTAATATGCAGAACCAGATAATAGTCCAGTCAGGATAAAATTTCCAACCAATTTCTATTCTATTTCAAGTTTTAAAAATAATCAAAACTTGGCTTTAATTTTTTTTTCTTATTTAGTTGCGCCAGAAACTCCCTCAAAAAAGAAAAACCACGTTTGGCTAATACCAAATACTTGGTGAGAGGCCTGACCTCTGCAGCATTCAGAGGCTGCGTTGCCTCTGACAAAGAAATAATGAGCAATAATTACTTGGGAGGAGCGGCACCTGCTAAGGCAGATTATGAAGCCAGGGTCGCTCTGCAGATGCACGCTGTGAGGAAGCCTTCGGGGGGTGTCAGGGTTTGGGTTTGTTCAGCTGCTGGCCCTGGTCTGAAGGGGCTTAAAACATTCCCATTCTCCTCTTGAGTGCTCTTTAGCAACCACTAACATGTATAGGCTTGCTGTTACATCTGCATAATAATGTTCTGAAGAAAAACTCGACAGAAAATATGTTTAAACCTTGCTGCTGCTGTTTGAAAGCCTGTTTTCTTTCCATAGAGGAAAGTAAAACATCATGGATACAATGTACATATGTACATACATAAAGCCTGTTACTGAAACACTGCATAGTGCATTTTCTTGCACTAAATAAATATGTTTATTTTTTAATTAAGTAGAGCAAAACTTGCATATGCCTACTAATCCAGACTTTGAAGTTAGTCTGGCACAGAGGGGGGCTGTTGTATGGAAGCCGGTATCTTAAAACATCTAAGTAAGACTTGCAGCTGGGTGGGTCTTTGACTTCAAATATAAATACTTCCTTGTTTAAAAAAAATAAATCTTAATCCATTTCTTACATGAATTTGTAAGGTATAGATATTAATTTAAAGAACAAATGAAACTTCTATGTTTTTAGGTGCTGCAGGTGGAAGACAGGATGACATGCAGTGGAAATTCAGTTCACCTATGACCCAATTATTCCTATGGCAGTATTAAGGGCGATCACTTTTGCCATACTACTCGTGTGACTCTGTAGAAGTGAATAGGTGAAGTTCTGCTTATCCTTCCTTATTCTTTTATAATACACGTAGTGAAAAAGAACAATATCCTCTACAGATGAGAAGACAAAGAACTGGTAGGAGGAAGATACAGTGTCAAACTGTATCTCTGGAGAACTTCATACCTGAAATTGTTCCAGTGTTTTTTTCACTAGGGCCTGTCAATAATCACACTGTATCATTCTCTGGAGTGGCCTTGTCCTTTCCATGTTCTATATAGAGATGCTTCCTGGTGGTTATCAAGCTCAGTTAAATGTAAGTTGGGAAGTGGGAGAGACTATGTCAGGGAAGTCCAGTTTCCTACTGGGTGGCAGGCAGGCTGGCATCATCTGCTTAGCAGTGGAAAAAAAAGTGAAAACACTTCCATGTTAGTCTGTTGTCCCCTGAGGTTGTCAGTTCTGCAGTGACTACACATTAAAAATATTTCTTGGTTGTTTAACTTGGAAAAAAAAAAAATCAGTCATTCTTTTCCAGAGTGACTTTTTAGTAGACACCTTGTTACAACTGGATTGTTCTCTTTATAATGTTTCTTAACAGAAAAGCAATCGGATCAGATTTATCAGGCAGGTGTGTCTACAGGCAGAATAGACCAGCAGCTCGTCTAGTTCAGTGACTTGTTCCAGCAGGTGTCTGTGCCACATGCTGCAAGGAAGATGAAAAATCTGGCACAAACATCGGTTGCTTGAAAAGTTAAATATTTAATAACGTTCAATGAAGTATTTTGAAGTCTCTTTACTGGAGTGAAATCATGCACAGGGTCAAACGTGCAATATGTGACTTGCAGATACGTGGAGATAGTTATTTAATGAACTAACACTGCTTCTGTCACAATCTCAAGTAATTTTTAGATAAAGAAAAAAATCCCTACTGTTAGGCAACACATTATGAAGCTTCTGTACCCATTGTTTTAGATCTAACATATTTTAAATTTTGCTTTCTGTTTTTTGTTTGTTTTTTTTTTTTGTTTGTTTTTTTTAGCCAAATAAGTGTACAAAATGAGAATTACTATGGCAAAAGGGCTGCTCAAAATGAGCTGTTGGTAATATCCACATGTGTTCCTGTGCCTCACCTCGTATTTCAGTATGCAGTGAAGGTTTATTTTCTATCTTACCTTTGTCACATGATGTGTTGACAACAAACTGTGGTTTGCTGTGAAAACATGAATGGTTTTTATCTTTAAAACATTAGCTTTCATCTTACATTTTTTAATAGTTTTTATTAGAGAATGTATCAACGCTATAGATTACCCTGCCTGACCTGATGTATTGCTTCTGTTATCTCAGTTCATTCTGCTTGTCCACAGATCTGTGGTATTGGCAGCATAACATCCAAAAATCTTCATGATGTTGAGACCTCAGAGTTTCTCAAGGCATATAGTGTATGTTTGTGAGGATCTTGACACAACGTTATTGTGTCTTAAGTTCTGTCCCCAACCTACAAATAGCAAAATGAAAAAAATATTGGGGCCAAACTGAGTGTTCACTAAGTTTGGAATCCAAAACAGGCGGAGTGGGTTTACTTCTGCTTGAAAAATTGCATGTTGGTCTACTCCTAAATGATGTGCTACCCTTCCTAAAGCCCCTTCTGTCTCCTACCTTTGTGTGCCTTGTTTTATGTACAGAAATATTCCCCTTCTGGCTGGAGTCCTAAACACTGTGTTTCGTGTTTAAATTACAGCCGTCTATATTGGAGTCCAAGAGAAATCATAAAGAATTATGTTACTTTTCTACAAGCATCATCTAGCGTAGATGCACAAATTCTATTCCTTTCTGATGCTCAAAAGTGGGTTTGTTCATCTGGAACTAATAGCAAGGGAATAAATCATACATATGTACAATGTGATCATGATGCTGCATCTTGTTATATCATCTCTTACAGAAACATCTAACACAGCAAATAACAGCATTTAAACTAAATGCTGAGGCCACTTGGTAAATTTGTTAGAGCCTAATTCCTTTTTTTTTTTTTTTTTTTTTTCAATGATGGTGTTGTGGTTTAGCCCATCAGGCAGCTGAGCACCACAGAGCTGCTTGCTCCATCTCTCCTTCCCCACAGTGGGACAGGGGAGAGGGGGGAAGTAAAGCTTGTGCATTGAGATAAAGACAGTTTAATAGGACAGAAAAAGAAGGGGAAATAAGAATTATGATAAAGCAGTGTACAAAGTAAGTGATGCACAGTGCAGTTGCTCACCACCCACTGACTGATACCCAGTGAGACCATGGCACCCCACCAGTCCCTCCAGCTGTCACTGCTGAGCACGATGCCCTGTGCTGTGGGATGTCCCTTTGGGCATTTGGGGCCAGCTGTCCTGGCTGTGTCCTCTCCAGCTCCTGGGGCACCCCCAGGCCCTCACTGACAGGGCAGCACGAGGAGCTGGGAAGTCCTTGGCCCCGGGTGAGCACTGCTCTGCAACAACTGAAACAGCAGCGTGCTATAGCATTGTTCTCATCTTAAATCCAAAATACAGCACCATACCAGCTACTCAGAAGAAAATTAACTCAATCTCAGATAAAACCAGGAAAGATTTTTATATAAATGTAAAATCCAATGCCAAAATAAGGAGTTAATAGAAGCCTCTTAATTCTTTTCAAGTTGCACGATTATGTACAGTCACCCACAATGCAAAATACAGCTCTAATTTCTAAGCAGAAATTTTCAATATGACTGTTAAAGTAAGAGTTTTTACAACTGAGAGTAAGTGTTCCTTCTTCCAAAACAGTAAGCCTGTAATGCTTTCTTAATGTGGTGCCAGAGTTTCTCAGTGTGGAAGAAGTTGACTGAAAAGAGGTTGAGAAACTAGCAGAATGGGCAACAGCTTGCCTTTTTCATGTTATTTGTAGGTGGTCTGATTTTTTTTGTTACCGTGCTCTCTTTCCTCAGATCGTCAAGCTAGCTGTTTATAGAATGCTTCCAAAAAACCTCCAGAGAAGAACTATGATGCAGAGGTTGCACCTGTTCCCAGAAGACGTAAGTAGTCACACAGTTACATTTTCATTTCTTTTTCCTTTGGAGGTAAAGAGGGATCATTATCAACAGCAAAACTTTATTCATAAGGTAAATTAAGAAAAATCAAGCCGCTTTTTGTTTATGTATCTACAAATACTTGTATATGTTGATGCTCTTTTCTTTATGTCACAAAACTGTGAGATCTAAGACACGCATGAGATAGTTTTGTGAGTTTAGGCTTCATGTGACATGAAGAATGAAGTAGGGTTGATAAATTTTGGTCTGGATTTGGGAAGGATCGAGGTGTTTTATAAACCATCAGGTAGCTAAGGCTGTTCTTGCTCACCACAGGTTATCCCAGAAGATATAGAGAAGAATCTTCTCCAAGAGATTCCTCAGCCACGTGCAGTCCCCAGGAGGTTAGATGAATATACACCAGAAGAAATCGCAGCCTTCCCAAGGGTTTGGACTCCGTAAGTATCTTAGTATTTACTCAGTCCAAGCGTCCATTTTAAAAATCTGTGTTGGCTCTTACATTGAGTAACAAAAAAGGAATTTTTTTTTTTTCTTTATGCCACGTTTTTTTGGTGGGAGGAGGTCATTCAAGCAAAGAATGTTCATACTGGGGGGCGGTGCCAATTTTTTCATATTTCTTGCCTTTTTTAAAATCTAAAAAAAATTATTTTAAGTAAAGCTTTTCTGATCTTCATGAAAATATAGTTGAGTAAATGCTTACTCAGTTATCCTACTTGAGTTGTCAACTGGTAGTCATAGCCAAAGGAAACACTGTGAGGGAATGATTCATTTTAATTAAAAAAAATCTATTAAAGAATTTTCAGATTTTCTCTAGAGGAAAGGAAAGAATTCTTCTGAACTAAACTTTGCAGAATGGGTCTTTGGCAGGGATCATACCACATGTTTATTTTGATAAATAATTTCTTTTCAGTGCACAAAACCAGTTCCACAGTAGTTGTGTGGCATGTTGAGTGTTTGTGGTTTGTTTTATACCACCGCGTGAGTCAACCTGAAAATAATGAAAATAATGCATTATAGTTGGGACATCTTCTGCTTAGTACTAGTGTGATCTTTTTCTTGTGGTCATTCTGAGAGCCCTAATACTGGGTTTCCTTTAAACGTCAAAGCCAGAGAGTGGGAATGAAGCAAGTGGACTAGAGATGTCTTCCAAACAAGCAGGACCAACTTGTGCTCTTCTGCTTGTTTTCAGCATGTAGAATTTGATAGGATTTTTGGTAAGGAAAGCTTAAACATCTGCCGACTGTTATATGGAAGACACCTAAAGTAAGTGTGGTCTGCAGGTCTCTAGGCATTCATTTGTGACAGTGTTTGCTTAATGTGGGTTGGCTTAGGTCTTTTAAGGAAGGACATTGACAGCTGAAGATGATTTTGGAAATTAGTTACATCTTGTAGTACTTTTCCTGGGTAATACTTTCAAAAATGTAATTAAAATAAACAAAACATTGTAATTAGGCTCCTGGTTCCAGAAGATGCTGAAATAAAGCCTGTGCATCAGTTCAGACTGAGGCTCCTCAGTATTGCAGCCTCTGCTGTAATGGGATGAAGTCCAGTAATGCTTTAAGACCTCTTCTGGGTGGACATAGGTAGACTGATCTTGATTTTCTTTCCGATTATGTCAGCATGCACGTTGCTGTGTTGTTTTTATTACAACTGGATGCACTTGAAAACACAGAGATCTGTCTCATGGTTCCTGTGAGATCTCATTGGATTCACCCTGAAGAAGTTCCAACTCTGCTCAAATGAGCAGAATTCTGCACTGCATTAGAGTACAGCTGAGGAACTGCTCACGCGGTGTGGTGTACTGTACTCTCATGGAACCGTCTTTAGTACTTAGGCTGACACCGATTATTACATGATAACTTAGCAGTGAATAAGAATTTGGCACTTAGATTGAACTAGCTAATTGGGAGTGTCCCTTCCATCAGAGAAAACACGCTACCAGAGCGTTGGAAATGCTTTTCTTTGTTCCCACACGCTGCTGTAATCTGCATGAGTTCATCTTCTCAGCGCTGGGCCACCCTTATTGAGTTGATTTATAGCTGTATGTGGCTGAGAACCTGATGCCTTCTAGTTTAGTAATTCCTGTCAAATTAAGTCCCCTAATAATTTCATGTCAGCATTGAGGAGGCTTCCCTCTACCCCCATTTCTTTGCTGTGCGGTCTCATCCTGATCAGTTCTGGGGAAGTGCTCTCTGTACAAGTCTTTTCCTCCATGCCAGTTACGGAGGTCGGGCAGTGCTGGTGCCACAGAAGCCCTCCAACTGCCTCAGGTTTGGTGGCTTTCAAATGTGATCGCAGTGCTGCTTCTGTGGGATGAGTGGGTGACTTTGGTGGGCATTTGTGGTGAGAAGAACCAGGGAATAGGAGGACCTGGAGGGGAAAAAAGAGCTCTGGAACAAGAGTGTGTCAGAGCACTGGGTTCCCCTTCAGCCAGCTGCACTAGCTAGGGCCTGTTTAAAGGCAAGAGGACATAGCTAACCCTGCTGCTGTTCCTTTGCCCTGTGTATTTTGTGCTCCTCATACCTTCTTTTCTGCTCTAAGGAACTGCTAAGTCCAAGCAGAGAGAGGAAGAATGGAAGTGGTCATCTCCCATCTCTGCTGGCCTCAGGGTGCATCGGTGTTGCCACTGCTGCAATTCTGGCTTCTTGTCCTGGCCTGCAACCAGCCCATAATAGATGTTGGATACTGGTGTCAAACAGATGAGCTCAAATTTAACTTCCAGCTCACTTTGATATTGGGCAGAGTTTCCAATCTGGACTAATGAGAAAAACAATCGTGTTTTTCTTCCTGACTGAGGGAATAGAAGTATCACGGTCATTCTGCAGCACTGACAGTGCGGTGGGGATCTGACTCTCGTTGTGAAATAAGAGGATTGAGCAAATTTGGTGAAATAACTGTCTGATTTGGTAAGTAAAACACAGAAGTCTTTAAAGGGGGACTTATTGTGATTTGTAGCAGTCACTGTTCTCTCATTAAAGTGCCAGCTGGAGGATCTTAGAATAGACAGCTTTACAGTGAAGGCACTAAAAGGAAGGCTGTATAAATACCCAGCTGTACGAAACTCTGCTCTGAACTTTTCCAGTGGGAGCCCATGGAAGAAGTCGTGTGCGCTTTATTCCTGTCAAAGACTGTAGAAGCAACAAAGATAGAAGTATTTACATGTTTGTTTGTTTTAATGGTGTCAGCTTTTTTAGAGGCATATAGCAAAGAGAATGTTTTTTTAAATGAGCCAAAAAATGGACAAGTTACTGTAGGCAGCGGCAGCTTTGCACAACAAACAAAAGAGAAGATGGAATAAGGCTGTATAAATGGGATAATCTGCAGTTTGTGTTGTACCGAAAAACAACATCAAAATTGTTTCAGAAGGGTTTTAAAAGGGAACATTGGTTTGTTTGTTTTTTGTTTGTTTGTTTTTTAAACAGCTGTTCTCAAACACTGACAGGACTTGAAATCCAAACATTGCGCTAACACATCTGTATCTTGGATTGCAAAACTGACTTTCTCTTCAGGTTCTGAGTGATTTTATTCTTTCCCAGCTGACAGGCTGCCCAGAGAGAATGGGGAATCTCCAGCCTTGGAGATGCTCACAACTTGGCTGTGCAGCTTCCGAGCAACCTGATACGATGCTGAAGTTAGTCCTGCTTTGAGTGGGGGACTTGTGGTCCCTTCCGATGCAAGTTGTTATATGGTTCTCTATCTTTTATGAATTATACAGACACACGTAGTAGAGTAATATTTTAATAATCTGTGTTTAAAAAACCCAAAGTATGGGTTACCAGGAGTGTTAGGCCTATTCAGCTTTTCATTTGTTACTCTCTAACAGAGTCTTACAAGTGTGGGTGTGAGCACAAAGCACAGAGATGAACAAATAGCCTTCCCTTGTTCTCTGTGTCCTGTACTTGAACTGCATTTGGGATATGTAGGGGCTGTACATTGACTGCTGTGTGCTTCAATTTGTGAGCTTCTGCAGAGCTCACTGGTAGCTTCCAATCAGTGAGAGCAGAACTTGCGATTAACCAGAATATCAAGGGTTCATAAAAACTGTACCTTTTTTTTTTTTTTCAGATGGTTTTAATAAGTCTCCCTGCCTTAAGTGATTTTTGTTTCTATCCTTCATGAAGTTCTGACCCAGCCACTGGCCACTGTTTGACAAAAGACAGAGGTTGAAGAGAATGAAAAGTGATTAAAAAATAAGGAGAGGGAGATTCTTTGTGTCACGCCTTCTTTTTTTTTTCCTAGAAGAAAAAGATTTAGTTGATATTATCCCTTTAAAAATAGTTGTATCCTTCAATGGAAAAGATCAAATTTAAAACCATAGCTAGATGAAAAGTATTTAAGGACATAAAGGAAAATACAATTATGACAAGAAAATTAATGTTTAAGGTTTTATGTTAAAATTTATGCCCCAAAAATGTACCTTACTGAATATAAAAGTCGTAAGACAGATAATAGGAAACAAATACAAGTTCAGTGCATGGGAAGAAGTTGCTAGCATTAGGAAGAAAGGAGCCTTTTTCTATTTAATCTGAAGTGGTATGTAAATAATTTTCGTTCTGAGTGTGAGGAGAACATGCTCAGTGTTACGGTTTCAATGGACTTTCTTCCTGCGTTTTTATTACAATGTCTTGCTACGGATGGTTTTTAAAGGGTATTTTTCTGTAATTGGAGACTGATGCTGTAGACAAATATACAATATCCAAGTTGAGCCACGGAGTAATGGTTTTTAAGGAAAGCAGAGGTCTCAGTGTGGAAACCTAGCCAACAGTTTGTGTTTTTCAGAGGGGGCAGCCTTCCCATCACTCCTCCTTCCAGTGCCACTCGGTTCATGATGGGACAACAGTCTGGTTTCTGCTCCATGAAAACAGGGAATTTCTGAATATTTCCAGTGAGAGGGATTTTATTTGAGCATTCTTTCCTTTTAGCCTTAACCTGAACCAGTTGGCTTCCCAAATGGTGCAGAGCTGCTCTCTTAGATCTTTGATGGAGAGAGGTCTGAAATAACAGTGGTGAAAAACCTTATAGGTGCGGGGAAGTGAAACTGTATCTTTCCAGGCAGATTTAAAGGGGAGAAAGATCAAAAACCTGTTCCTTTGACCGAGTCTGAGTTTTTTTTCCACAGGTTCTTACCGTGAATGAACCATTATTGCAAGGGTGTTTGAGGTTTCAGATCAGATGGTTTTTAATGGGCTTTAAACAGAAACCATCACAAAATTCACCAATCGTGTATGACTAAACAAACAGTTATGTTTCATACCTGTCTTCTAAAGGCAGGAATACATCAGATTTATGTGTAAATTTTCCCGTTAAATGCCATCTAAAAGTTGTTTAGCCGACTGCATTGATATGTTTTCAGACAGTAAACTTCTAAAGGCAGGAAATTTAGTTTTGAAGAAGCCTTTTAAAATCACTCAGACAAAAACGTTACCAAATACATAGAAGACCTCTGTGTTGTTCTAGCTAGATGGATACACTCCTAAGAGTTTCCCTTGAGGAAGCAGAGCATGCTGACTTCCAGGAGAGCTCTCAGGCTGTTGCTGGTGTGCATAGTGAGTGCCTGTTCTCCTGCCAGGCTTTATAGGAGCTCTCCGTGGACCTCGCTCTGGGCCAGACAGCCTCTCACTTGTCTTTCTGGAAAAGAAGTCCTTGCAGGCTTTTGACATTTTTAAAACTTGAGGTATTGTAAACTCTGAAACTTGGTTTAAGAAAACCAAACACCTTCTTAATGTTTATGTTTGAGTAACTTGCCTGATTCCTGGCCCCCTTCTAGGTAGGGGGGTTGCAGAGCCTGATGTGAAGCCATAAATTCGTTTCAGCAGAGCAGTGTGGGCTGGGCACAGTCCCAGTTCTGACACTGAATGTCACCCATATGCTGATCTGTGTGGCATGGCACACAGGTTCCTGTTCATTCATTAGCAGCACTCTGTGGCTTTGAAAACAGAAAAATGCCATGTTCTGGGGAAGAAATGTTTGTAGATGATGAAACACAAGGGTGTTGGGACACCTAGGAATGGTGGATGTCTCTGAGAACCCTATTACACGTTCTGTGCCAATGATATCATGGTCATAACTTCCTTCTGCAGTTCTTCCCTGGCTTTCTCTTCCTCAAAGCCAGCCTTGCCAACCCTAGGAACCTGAAGTCTACTGCTGATATTTCTAGTGAGTAACTTTGTAGGTACTGGTAGACTGAAAGGCTCTCACATTAAGAAATCTCAGCCACAGTTCTCCCTTCTGTTTGTTGTCTTACAAGGTAACTGCAACAATAGTTACCTTGCCCAGTTGTACAGTTTCTAGTGTAAGTTCCTATTTGTAATCATTACATCCAAGAAATAATTTGGGTAGTAAGATCTGAAAAGGAAGCCAGAGATATCCTGGTTATGTGGCTGAAATGATGTTATGAAGGTCATATAGTGCTTGCAATTTTATTTCATTAAATTTTTTGGCTGTTAATTTCATTGTTTTAGATACACAAATGATAGTTGGAGTATCTCCAGTGGTGGACTGTGTCACAAACACCGTAACTTTCATTTAATACCAATAACTAATTTATTTAAATTAATTTAATATCTGTAAAATATTTTTTGTTCTACAGTGAAATAAATATAAGGTACGGTATATGAAAAAGAATGGGGTCTTTGTTACTCCAAGTATCTGAAGAAGCTCAGTGAAGACCTGCACCAAAGATGGTGAGGACTTGAGCTACTTTTGTAAGGGCCTGCTCAGGTTTATAAATGTGTTCTTCCAGCCGTTTTTGTAGTTTGTCCAAACTGCAGTGCCTGTGGTTGGTGTGTGCAGTGCCTCCCATGCTCGTGCTTTTCTTCTCACCTTGGGTGTTTGTGTAACAGGAACAAGTACTGCCCCTTCGGCTTGAGTGCCCATCTCTCAAAGAGCAGGGTTGGCAAGTATCAGTGATCAGAGCTGCGATGGCCAACACAAACTTCTGTGAAAGACTTGAGCTGAGCCAGGCTTAGTTTTTCCTAAAAACACAAACTGGATAGACGAGGAAAAAGCTCTCCTGCCAATATAGCCCAGTCCTGTTCCAATGTACTCTTGGAGGAATCCCTCTGGAAGTTCATTTTCTGTGGCTTTTTTGGTTCTTGGTAGGAATTCCAGTAACTAGCTGTAAATCATTAACCCCCATTAAAATTTGAGAATTATCACTGGTAACTTTTTTTTATAGTAAGGGCATAAAAATATCCCACAATTTTGTGTTGCTTAGCAGAAGGCTGAAGGTAACCACATCTCATATTTCAGGCTACCAGAGCTGGATCTAAATTCCCGTGGACAAAAAGCCACACACTTGGATACTTAAGAAGAAAATTGCTCCCTTTTACAATAGGTTTTAACTGCAGGAGGCAACTCAATACTGATTGAGAAGGGTCAGTAGCGTAATCATCCTACAAATCTGACAAATCCATATTTAGAGTGTTCAGCCTGTTAAAATTAATTACTGGCTTTTCTCTAGCATGTATAAAATAGCTGATACTACTGATTCTCTTACCCTTTACCTGAGAGCAGCTTACATTGTAGCTAGAGGTAGAGCTGAATGTAAAAGATTTATTAAATGAGTAACTGAAGTTTCACTTCAGCTGCCTGAAGAGGCTTTCAAAAAGAAAATGCTAAAGCTGTTATCCCCTTTCCCCTGAAATCTGTTGACCTCATATATGAAAAAAAAAAAAAAAAAAGAGAAACTAAATTAATGGAAATTTGACAAGCAGTATGAGAACAGCTGTATGTGATACTGTTGAACTACTTGCCCAGATGAAAATGGAATTAGAATTTTTTTTAATTACTCTTTTATAGATGTCTAAATGTATTTGCTTTTTTCGCTTCTGGTGGTGACAGAAAGTCTGGAAAGCGTTTCAC